CGCTTCAGTGGTGGGTTCTGGCATGCATTGGCGATTATCCACTAGTTGGGGGCCAGGAACGTTTGCAAATGGTGGAATGGATTGCTTAAATTGAGTGACTCTTCCCTTTTGGGTTTTCTTCTCGTGAATATTTGCTTGGGAAGATGCCATTGTTAAAAGAAGTAAAAGGAAATGGTGCTTTCTAGGTCTTGTGAAGAAAATTGAAGGAAGGGAGACGAGGTGCTGAAGATTCTGAGAGTGTAAAAAGTTCACAAAATGGTGAAGAAGAGTATTTATAGGCATTTGGGAATCCTAAAAGCTTTGGATCCACCGTTGAAGTTAATCGGGTAGTGGGACGCATGTCTTTCTCTGGACAAGTGATGAGTGTTAGCAGTTATGGTCAGACTGCAAAACATATGTTTTCAAGGAAAAGTGATGATGAATACGACTGAAGAGACGTTTAAGGATTTGTCATGATGGTGTGACGTCATAAGCGTGGGTTAAAGAAATTGAACAGTTAGCCACTAAATAAGTAGTGGGTTATTCAGTCAAGGCTATGCAATTTCATAGGCATATGCGTCGAAACGGTTATGAAAAATGACCTTCCTACCAAAGTTGGCGAAAGGGCATTTCTTGGGGGCAATTTGTTAGCTCTCATTTTCGACGCCAGCAAAATCAAGAGTCATCTCAAGTTAAAAACAAGCGTGTTCAAGCATAAGAAGGCTTCGACCCAGTTTTTGGTAAAGCCTGAGTCGAAGAGAGGTTGTGAAAACTTCTGAAAATTTGCTAAGTGTTGGATAGTTCTTCGACCATGAGGGGGATGAAAGAAGCGCGATCCAGTCACCACTAAGGCTGGAGAGAAAGTTCTGATATTTGAATTTCAAAAGAGAAGTTGGCGAAGTGGGAACGATTGAAGTCAAGAAAAGCGCCAAAAGACACGTTTGAAGCAACAACCGTCACTTAGTAGTTATTCTCTAACATTATAAATATGGGTTATTTCCATAAAATATGGGTGTTCATTTGTCTTGTACAAGTTACTCCAACTCACTCAAAGTACCCGCGTGTAGAGAAACGAGTTAGAGAGAATGTACATGATGCAACACCATTTCTTTTCATCAATGCAATTTATGTACCTCTATCATTTTATCTTGCATGTTCTCCTTTAACCTTTACCTTTCATGTCCTTCCTTGAAACTTTATTTTTTATCTATACTTCATGCTATTTAACTTTCTGCACTTTATCTTAACTTGCCATTTAACCTTCTGCGCTTTCCCTTAAACTTGTTATTTTCAAAGTCCTTTACATTCTTGCCTTTATTTTCAAAGTCTTTGACATTCTTGCCTTTATTTTCAAAGTCTTTAACATTCTTGCCTTTATTTTCGAATTCTTTTACATTCTTACCTTTATTTTCAAAGTCTTTTACGTTCTTGCCTTTATTTTCAAAGTCTTTTACATCTTGCCTTTTACTTTCGACGCTTTAAGAATTGCACTCTTTATTTTACAGCCTTGCTAATTTCCAAGTTGTTTTTGCTTTACAAAGTTTTACAGTCGAACGTGGAGTTCAACTTAGATTTTCTTTTAAACATAGCATATGTTCTAGGATTTGTATGGTCGATCCTGCAAGTTACTCAATTTTCCCAAAATTGATAGACCAGAGGTTGTTTACCAAATTTCACAGTAAACAGTAACCTAGATGTGATTGAGAATTCTGAATCAAATCTTGGATTATATGATGAAGCCTTAGGTCAACCTGCACCTCGACTTCCCACTCTTTCAATTCTGGGAAATGAACCATGAAGAGAGCACAAAATGTCATTTTACGGGAAAACACATGTGCAGCCTCATTATAACATCATGGCTTGTAAACAATATCAAAATCAAAGCCCATGAGTTTGAAAGTCCATTTAAATTTCTCCTCTTCCAGAGCATGTTGTTCCATCAAAAACTTCAAACTTTTTTGGTCAGTTTGCACAATGAAATGTTGTCCCATCAAGTAATGATGCCATTTTTGTATTGCCATCATAATGACCATTAATTCTCTTTCATAAACCGACTTCCGTTGTGCACAACTAGATAATGCCTGACTCAATAAGTTCTCTGGTCGACCATTCTGCATCAAAATAACACCTAAACGTTTTTTAGAAGCATCTATTTCTATCACAAATGGCAAAATGAAATTTGGAACTGTGATCACCGACAATTCGGCCATTGTTGTCTTCAAAATACAAAATGCAGTATGTGCCTCCTAATCCCAATGAAAATTATATTTCTTGAAAAATTGGAGGAAAGGCCTTGCTAAGATACCACAATTCTTCACAATGCGGCGATAATACCCCATTAAACCCAAGAAACCTCTTAGGGAGTTGAGATCTTTGGGTGTTAGCCAAGTAAGCATCGCTTCAATCTTTTGAGGGTCTACTACCACACCTTGGACTGAAATGATATGGCCTAAATAATCAAGTTGAGATTGGCCAAAAGTGCATTTCTTGAAATTCGCTATGAGTTGATTCTCCTTAAGAAGTGATAGGACAGCTTGAAGGTGAAATTGATAATCCTCGTTAATTTTGTTGTATACTAAAATATTAGCAAAAAATACCAAAGCAATAAGGTCGGAGGACGTCCATCATTAGTGCTTGAAATTTGGATAGCACATTTGTCAAACCAAAGGGCATAACAAAAAACTCATAATGGCCCTCATGATTCCGAAATGTTGTTTTAGAAACATCCTCTAGTCACATTCGTATTTGGTGATATCCTGATTTTAAGTCCATCTTTAAAAAAAAATAGTCTCCCCTCTCAACTCATCTAATAATTTGTCAATATTGGAATAGGAAATTTATTTGCAAATGTGATTTTATTCAAAGCTCGGTAATCCACGTAGAACTACCAACTACCATCTTTATTCTTCACAAGAATGATAGGGCTAGAATACAGACTTACAATTGGACGTATAATCCCCGATTTTATCATATCATCCACCAACTTTTTAATTTTTGTCTTCTAATAATGAGGGTATCTATAAGGCCTCTGGTTAGGAATGATCGGCCCCTTCTTTCAAAATAATTGAATGATCATGAACTCTTTTTTTTAATAAAGCATTAAATTTCAATAACCAAAACAAGTTACATGGGATCACTAATCTCTACCATTGATTATAGTGTTTACATGATTCGCTAGCTCTCTATGCAAGCTACTTCTAGTTACAATATTATACATAATTTTATCAATTAAAGTGGGATCCATCTCCTTGTGATTGAACAACTTATCATTCCTACATCTTCACAGTTTATACCCCTCAAGGCTACAATTTCTAGCTATAAAAAGAGATCACTCTTTCTTGCAAAAATAGAACTACGAACACACATACAAAAAGAAGTGAAACGCTCTCAATTTATATTTCATTTTCATACACAAGAGTTGTTGCTCATATTTGTGTGATCATTTGTACTTAAACTTCTATTTCATCTGCTTTATAGAAGCAAACATTGTAAAAAAATTCTTTGTATCTTCATTGAGATATTGATTTCCTCAAGTGACTAAGTGTTATTTTGTAGACTTGAGAGCGCTACGGTGTTTTTCTAAATACTTAGACGAACTTGTTGTAATATGTCTAGACTATTGAATTAGTCCTTGTTGAAGGCAAAATCACTTTGGCGGGTGGACTGGAGTAACTTCGTTAATAGTGAATCAGGATAAAAATATATGCATCTTTCTATTCATTCTTGTTAATCCTTTGTGTTAAAAAATTTTTTTAAATAACCAAAGTCTTGTCAAAAATCCAATTCAAACCCCTCTTTCTTGAGTTTTCCTTTACCTTCATAGATGGTCCATGGACTCATATGTATCACAGAAACAACAACCATAATTGTCAATCAGACCAAATTTCCTGAGTTTATCGTAAATTTAGCTCTAAGTCGCGCATGGTTATCCATCAGCATTTTCCTCCATTCCACTGGCTCTTTACTGCCTCTTAATTCTTGGTACACAGTGGCAAAGTTATACTTATCACCCCCTTGAAATTTCCCAATTCAGAACATCACATCCTTTTCAGTAATACATGTTAACCCATATGATCCAAAGTTTGTCCTTCTTAACATAGAAATTTTTACGCAGATACAACAATACCGGTAATTACCGATTAAAAAAGAATAACTGACACAATAATAACCAACCTCTAATTTTTAATTACTACTAATTATCATCTTTATTCTATTTAAAAAACATATTGAATAACATAAATTGAGCCTAATTACTTAGACTTTTTGACTTTACGCCTCGTATAAACAAACTTAATAGAAGACCTACTAACATATTCTTTCTTCCTTGTCGCATAGCATCACGGCAGTGCAATTAGGAATTGACATGTAACCTTTATCTTCCCAAAGAAATTTTAAAACAGAGTAAAATTCAACAAACTTATTATCCTATTTGATAATATAAATTTCTTGTTGAAATTCTGAAACACAAAAATCTCTCTTTCAAATCGTTTCAATCAATTGCATTTTCTATAAACACAATGAATTGTGCAATTCATTCAACATATAGCCTCTGTACCAAGCAAGATCAAACGAAATCAATTGGAACTGGTATAGAACCATCAACAAATTCAAGCTTCTTTCTGCCAAGAGCACGGCGCATTAGTCAGGCTCGCAAATGATAATTAAAGCCATTTCAAGAGTGTTGTTATTTATACTCTTAAACCTCTGTTGCCAATAGATTCTCTAGAAAATAAAACATTCACCAAGTAATATGTAATCTCACACACCTTATGCAAAGCAGTTTATTGACCACTTGAAACATTGTTTTTCATTGTGTATATATCCTAACCAAACAAAAGCCAAATTTATAAATGTTTCTTCTAGTGGTATATAGATTCGAGTCCCGCAATTATTCTCCATTTCTAACACATTCTAATGAAATCTTAACAAAATGAGGTGCAAATATTACAATTATATAGAATATATATATATAATGAATTTGTACATTAGAAAACATATATATCAACAACTGTTGCGGATCTTTATATTCTTCGGAGAGAAGCCAATCTCTTTTCAAGTTCTTCAACATCTTGGGATTCTGATCTGCACGCACAAAGCAAAACGGAAGTTAAGAACGCGACCAATAAAAGAAGTACATTTTTCTAGACAGCTTTCTCACATGAATAAGACTGAACTATATATACATACCTTGCAGCAACATTTTCAGTATTCCTCGAAGCAATCCGACCTTTCGGAGCAGAAGATAACTACAATAAGAAAATAAATCAGCATTACGCCCGATACAATGCTCATAGAAGTAATTGATGAAAGTATTTCTAGACTTTTAGGAACACATAAAAGCTCAGATCCCATGTCATGAACTTGGCTATTTCATAAACTTAAGCTGATAGGTGAAAACACAAACGATTTGTATGTTGTATCTCTAACATATTAAATCAGCATTACGCCCGATACAATGCTCATAAAAGTAATTGAAGAAAGTATTTCTAAACTTTAGGAACACATAAAAGCTCAGATCACATGTCGTGAACAAACTATTTCATAAACTTAGGCTGATAGGTGAAAACACAAATGATTTCTATGTTGTATCTGTAGCATATTAAAATATTGAGTCCAAAACCAACCTGGGATGCAATATCAACTCCAATTTCATCAAGAACCTGTCATTAATAAATGAAAATCAGATATGAAAGGGGAAACTTTACTTATGTACTAGTAAGTGCGGTTACTATATAATTAAGTTTGTCATTTACCTGGTTAGTAAGCTCTTCTGATTCTTCCTCAGCTTCATCTTTGTCTAAAGTTTCATCAATAGATTCTGACATCATCTCAATCTGCATTTAGGATAACAGTATAAATGTTTTTCAAGAGAAGTAAAAATATAGTTTAATGATATTGCTGGAGTGGAGCCTGCCTTCAGTACTACCAAGCTAGTCCACACGGCGAGGCAAGTTTCCCTTTTTATCACACCTAATGATTATAGCTTGGTAAATATATTGCAAGCAGTGGTTGTGCTAATAAAGCTCTTGCCTCACCACGGTGGAGCACAATGGATCCATTGCAGATCTATTGTAGCAACCTTTACTTTGCTGTTGCTAGACGCAGGTTCCACAAACTGAACCTGTGACAACCTTTACTTTGCAGATCTATTGGTAGGCTTATTATAATATGTCGTTTGAAGCCAAATTAATCATATGGATCTTCTGACTTTCGTTCATTTTAGTTCTTATACTTACGTCATGGATACTTCAGTTTTGGTTGCTTATTTTAGTTCTTGTACTTCACTGTCTTTCAAATCAACCTCTATTTTAGTTCTTATACTTACGTCATGGATACTTCAGTTTTGGTTGCTTATTTTAGTTCTTGTACTTCACTGTCTTTCAAATCAACCTCTATATTGCCCACAATCTTCAAAAGTCTATCAGTTATTTCAACCTCAGTTCTCCCTTTAATGTTTTTTCACGTTGCCTGATTTTTTCTATCTTTATTGAAACTTTTTCAAATAAAACTTTGTCAATGTCCAGTGCAAAAACCAACCCACTATCATTTTAGTACAGTTTCAGGTTTATTTTTAATTTTTCACTCAGCTGAAAAGTTCCATTTTCATAAAGTCCTCAATTTCATTGTTTTTGTTGCTTATCTTTAATATAAAACATGTTTCATTCATTTAACTATTAGCTTATTGTTGTTCCTTCAATTAGTTCTTTACCTGGAATATATGGTGAATTTATAACAAAATAACTGGTGAACTGATAACAGTGCAAAGCACCACACTTTAGCAGGACCAAACAATGGGAGAGACCTTAATTTTTTCAAAAAAGCTCCCGCCAGTCTAATACCAGTGAAACACTGGATAAATTATTGGCAATTCTCATGCTAACTAACAAATATCCACCCTCCCAAACAAATTCTAAAAGTAGTTATGGTGAATTTATAACAAAATAACTGGTGAATTGATAACAGTGCAAAGCACCACACTTTAGCAGGACCAAACAATGGGAAAGACCTTAATTTTTTCAAAAAAGCTCCCACCAGTCTAATACCAGTGAAACACTGGATAAATTATTGGCAATTCTCATGTTAACTAACAAATATCCACCCTCCCAAACAAATTCTAAAAGTAGTTAAGGATGGACGGATTTTGCATGAGAACATATTAGAAATTAACACAAAGTGATAAATTACCGTCATGTCCATTTGTGCTGATTGTTTTTGGAATTCCTGAATCACTTTAGCCTGCTTTGCCGGTGCCATTTGCTGCAAGAGATAAGCAAGGTAATGATTACCGTGTAATTTTAGTCGTAAGCAAAAAAGTTTTCAAAAATATAACAATCTCAGAAACACATCTTTCACATATTACGAAATTTTGGTTTAGTCCCAGCAGAAAACTGTTTGCACTTATTTGTACTTAATAGTAACCACAGATTGAAACTTAGTCATCTGTAAAACAAATCCTATGGAAGTTAAGTTACTCTTAACATATAGGACATGTTGCTTTGTTTTCTTCTTTGACAAGAGCATATCAAGAGTCCAAGACTCTACCCATTGGTTTGTAAACTGAATGTGTATATCAATAATTACCATAAAACATGAAAAATGGCATTCCTATTTTTGAATAACGGAAGTAGAAACAATCCAGAAAATATACCTTATTCATTGCTACCATTGCTTTAGTTGCACCCTTCATCCCTGTAGAGATTGAAGTGCTTGCATATAATGCCTACAAAAGAAATTTGGAAATTGTCAAATATGGAAATCCAGTTAGTACTCTTGAAAAGAAAAAAAAAAGACTTCATTTAGCACACCTGTGTGTGAGTTGCTACGCCCCTGATCTGAGCACGACTTCCCTGCAAATTGGTTATCTGTTGGCGTAACCTAACAAGTTGACGAGCCAGGATTCTTGTAGCTGCCTGTAAACAAATATTTTGCAATTCAGGATTGCTATAATGTAATATATCGAATATAATGCACTGCAAATCAGTTCATTGCTACACACACAAAGACATGGATAAAAGTTTAAATAGAAGGCTAGGTTACAACTGCAATTGGCTCCACTTGGGTAGATCCTATAATAGTGCTTGACTACATTAGACATATTCTGACTCCCTCCAATCCCCACCATAAAAGAAGACCACAATTATAATTAACATTATAATATTGCTATTTTTAAACTATTGGTTTATAATATCATATAGATTTATAACTATAACCTTCTCCCCATGATGTACAAATTTCTTTTTGCAAAAGAATTTTTAAGATTGCTATAAGGCCAAAATAGTTGTAAAAGGAAACATTCACCTTAGTGGGAAAGAAAAGTAGATAAGGGTTTGATTACTAAACATATGTTCCATTAGACATCAATTGGTAAGCGTGTTGGTTAGAGGGCTTACTTCCACAATGCAGTTTCAAGATCATATGGACAAAGAAGGGAATGATAGATATATATTCATCAACTTTGATCTCAACTAAGATGTAAACCCTCAACACCCAAATATTTATCTGAATATCATATTATTAATACTTACGCAAGACATAAACACTAAACCATATACTCTATATAGCTCATTAAAATTAAGGAAACGGATTAGCTACAAATAGATGAGAAATATACTTACCTCATTACCAGTTTTTGCTTCTCTTTTAATCTCTGCCACCAACTTCTTTTCCTGCAGTACACATGGCAGTGAAGCACTAAAAGGAAATATGAAACAGAGTAAAATCACTAAAAATATCTGATCTAGCCCTTTTACCTCCATCTGAAGCGAAGCTATCTCTCTTTCAATTCCTACAAGAAAGAAATGGTACGTAACTGCTTATTTATCTGGGCAATATTTCGTACATATTGGAGATTTCAAAAACTTTGAAAGAAAAAGAACAAAATTATAGATAATCAATCATAAAAATTTCTATCACACTAGTTTCAATTTTAGAAACAATTTATAGCTTCCCCTCCCCTCCCAAAATCCTCCATCCAAACACGTCCTTAAAAAATCTAAATATCAAAGCCCTCTATTCTAGCAATCTATGAAGCACGCACACCATAAACACAAACACGCACCTACAATGACACGTCAACATACATAATAATTTGAAAAAATAAAAAAACTAAAGATTAAAGATAAATCACAAATGTCATTCGGTTTCTGACACAAATACAAACACAAAGACATTCAATTTTAGAAACAATTTATAGCTTCCCCTCCCCTCCCAAAATCCTCCATCCAAACACGTCCTTAAAAAATCTAAATATCAAAGCCCTCTATTCTAGCAATCTATGAAGCACGCACACCATAAACACAAACACGCACCTACAATGACACGTCAACATACATAATAATTTGAAAAAATAAAAAAACTAAAGATTAAAGATAAATCACAAATGTCATTCGGTTTCTGACACAAATACAAACACAAAGACATTCAATTTTAGAAACAATTTATAGCTTCCCCTCCCCTCCCAAAATCCTCCATCCAAACACGTCCTTAAAAAATCTAAATATCAAAGCCCTCTATTCTAGCAATCTATGAAGCACGCACACCATAAACACAAACACGCACCTACAATGACACGTCAACATACATAATAATTTGAAAAAATAAAAAAACTAAAGATTAAAGATAAATCACAAATGTCATTCGGTTTCTGACACAAATACAAACACAAAGACATTTTTTCCAGAAGTGTCGGGCCCTAAAGAGCTAACAATTCATAAATAGAAAATAAAATGAAAACAATTCAATTATACTAGAAAATGCATTGATCTAAAAACTCAACAATAAAACTACACAGCTAAATCAGAATCAATTGAAGTAAATCACCTCTAGTTGCAACAGACATTTCTCTCTTACTTTGCCTCAGAGCTTCTGCAACAAACAAAAACAACAAAAAAAAGTAAACAACCACAGAATTCCAACAAGCACTAATTAGATCGAAGTTATAACACAGAAACCAATCAGTTAAATGACAAAAAGGTGAAAATCGTAAACACAAACGGCAAGAATTAGGGCAATGCGACGAGCAAAAAGGGGAGAATGAGAACCTTTGGGTGAGGTTTTCTTCTTGAAGATGTTCAGGTTCATTGTTGTGGCGGGTGAAGTAGAAGAAAATGAAAACCTAATTGAAGAAGAAGCGACGCAGAGGAAGTAACAGCAGCACAAGCTCTCTCTGTGTGCTGAGTGATTTCTGATTTTTTTTTATGAGAGAAAAAATGGCCGTTGCAAATATATGCACAAATTAGAACTCTTGTCTATCGTGTACGAATCATGTTTTTTATTTGTTTATTTATTTATTGATAAATATTAAATACTTGTAGTAAATGATTAAATCTTTATTTATTTTTTTGCTGATTTTTACTCAGTTTGACTGTCAACGGAACTCCTAGTTAAATACGGGAAATTATACTAATATTTCTCTAATCAAGAAAAAAAAATGTTTTTCTGTATTTATTTATGAAAACAGTATAATCGGAGTTCTCCAGAAAATTTAGAAACGATTTGTTTTAACTTTAAAAAAAATATTTTTTTTTTATAATTTTAAATTAGGTTTACAAAATCATTTTTAAAATATTATAATTTTTTTATATTTATTTTTCTAAAATAAAATATTGATTTTAACATCCTATAACATAAATATATATTATCAAAGATCAAAAAATAATCAAAATTGTAATTTTTTAAAAAAATTATATTTTAAAAATAATTTTTATGAAAATCTATTTAAAATAACTTTAAAATTAAGTAATTTTTTTAATTTTGATATCAAACTTTTTTTAATAAAATAATAAAATATCTTAAATAATATTTTTATAATAACTATTCAAACTAAATTTTTATTTGAAGTCTCTATCAAAAATTTCTCTATAAACTATTTTACACAAAATTAAATTACACTATAAAAATTATTTTAAAAAAAAAACAAAACAAACAGATCCTTAATATGTTAATGTGAATAAATTTAATTTTGAATAAGTTTAAGCTAACAATTAAAAGAAAAATTGTAGTATTTGATTTACATTAATCTGATCTAAAAGAATCAATTATATAACGAGGGATCCATTTAAAATTAGAATAAAATAATTCCACCAATTATTAATGAGAAGACCATTTAAGAAGCAAAACAACCAACACAAAAATTGTTTGAATCCACGACAGATGGCTATGTTGCTAAACTTTGGAGGTTGTTAGAATTGTGGACATGCTTAAAAAGGAAGATCATGGCAATGTGTCCGGGTGGAGTATGGTCGGGAAAATTCGAAATTTATTGAGGTTGAATTAAAGGATCAAGTTTCTTTATGTTTTTTGTAAAACAAATAGATGCACTGAGGTGTTAGTAAATATGGAGTGTACGCAATTACAAGATATGTTAATCTATAACAATCAAATTTTACTTATATATTGTAATGTGTGAGACAGAAAGTTGGAGTATGAGAAAAGAGAACTCGAGGAGCGTGGAACTTGTCTAACCAACTGTCATTTTCCAACTAGCCGTTGCAACTTTCTTATGTATTTTAGGAACGTTACACCTTTTATTGACTTAAAGGGTGTTTTGTTTTTGCACAAGAAAAAGTGTTAGGAATAATCTTCTTTTAGTTTTATCTAGTATTTACTTTTTTTTCTTAAATAAAACACAATGTATAATTCACACAAATGTCTTCCAATAAAAAATGTTAAAATAAATATTTGTAACATATTTCGCTAGAATTTTTTTAAAATAAATAGTAAATTTTGTCCCTTAATTCTTTTTTATTTATTAATTTATACGATATTCTTTTTGAACTTGTAGTTTGTGATATATTTGAAAAATATGTTTGATAACTTTATTTTTTTTTAACTTTCATTTTTTGAAAAATATATCTATTTTAAATTCTTCATCATACATTTTTAGGATTATGGACTACCTTTATGTATCTCTTTGTTTTTAAAAATGGTCTCCCAAGGATGATGAGAGGTATTTCCTCATATTTAGATATTTCTAAAAAAAATTAAATTTGCTAGAATTATAAATAGGGGTGTTCATAGACCAGTTTTGTGCGATTTTAAGTTAATCAGATACTTAAATCGATTAAAAATAAATTGGGTTACTTTTCCAACCCTTATGGATGTTCTCCCACTATCATGAAAAGTCACAATTGGCTCAACGTCCGGAGATGCATCTACTGACACATATTTTTTACACACTTAACAGCACAAATTGATGAGACACCTTTAATTTGTCAAAATTTAATATAGAGATACATCTCCATATGCACATGAGGTTAACCCATAGATGCATCTTCGTAAAAATCCTTAAATTAAAGTTCATTTAAAATTCAAGGAGTTGTACGGAGATACATCTTTGAACGCTTTTATTTCATATACTCGCATCAGACCCTTCCTTCTTCCTTCTTTATTTTTTAAAAAATTACTCAAAAAATCCATTTGTACTCTTTTGCTGCAAACCATTTTCAAACCCTATTTAAGGAAGTTTTTTCAAGTTCACTCACTCCATTTTACTTCATTTCTGCAAGGTTACTCACTCCATTCAAGTTTTTCATTCTCAATTTTGATTTGGTAAGTTTCTCATTTCATTATTTATTTTTTGTGTGTTTTGAATGTTGTTTTAGGTAACATAAGTTGTTTAAGTTGTATTAGATAATAGTGCAATCGAAATAAATAGTTGATATGAACATGCATTGCCATTTGGTTTGAAGTTAGGGCAACAACGGGTTTTCTTCCATGGTTGAAAATTGCGATTTCATTTGGAGATTCATCTCTAGATTATGTTTGAACTATTTTCGTAGAAGTATCTTTGAATTTGTACCTGACTGCATATTGGTTGAATTTCTATGTGACTGCATTTTGGTTGAATTTCTACGTGACTTTTTGGTTTTAACGTAGGTGCAACGACTAAAAACAAGCCTGACAAAATTAGACTCGACCATGTGTCCCAAACTGTCTATATATGACGTGAGAACGCCACATCTAGGACCACGAGGCCACGAATCGATGATAATTGTTTAATGTTTCACAACGTCGACATTCGTAACCATCCAACTCTACTTCTCATAGTCTTCTATCTCACGCCTCTACTTCACGGGGCCACGTACCCCTAAATGATGAAGCACCTGAAGCCCCTAAAGCCCTGGAGGAACCCGCTGCTAATGCCCTTGTAGAGAGTTATCTCTGAGGCCTATTTGACACCTGTTTAATTCATCTCTATGGAGACCATGCTGCTAGGCATTTCTGGGAAGGAGAAGTATATGTATTTACTTTTACATTACATATGTTTTAAACTAATTTAATCGCGATTGATGGTGATATACTTTCTTATAGGAGCGCCCATGTTTAAAACTCGTAAACCATGAAAGGAAGATTTTGGATTTGGAACAACCCCGAGATTACTGGTTCCAAGATGTTATCCGCTGCTCTAGGCTGGTCAGTTTATACCTTGTTATATACATTACCATAAACCATGGTATGTGTCATACCCTAAATTTTGACTCTAAGATCCCACAATTTTTGCATCGTGTGCATAATTTATCACATATTTCATCTTGCATAATACCCAATTTATCAGCTGAAATAAACTTGTTAGATTTACAACTGAATCGGTCAAACCAAAAATCGACTATGCGTAAAACTAGTGGACGAAAAATTTTAAAATCGAGCCTGCAAACGTCAGTGATATTAATATACATTCACTACAACAGAATTGACTTTTAGCAGCGCACACAAAGACAGCGCTTTTAGGAAAAGCGCTGCTAAAGAGTAATAAAAAAAACAGCATAGCTAAGACAGCGCTTTTTAGAAGCGCTGCTAAATGATAATAAAAAACGTTGCTAAATGGTAATTAAAAAAAAGAAAAAAAACAGCATACCTAAGACAGCGCTTTTTAAAAAGCGCTGCTAAAAAGGCTACACTAAGAAAGCGCTTTAAATAAAGCGCTGCTAAATGTATGGGCTAAGACAGTGCTTTAATAAAGCGCTGCTGTAGGTCGGACCTAAGAAAGCGCTTTTCTAAAGCGTTGTTGTAGGGTGTGCCAAAGAAAGCACTTTCCTTCAAAAAGCGCTGCTATATGGTTTTCAAAGAAAGCGCTTTTTAAGTGTTGCTGTAGGTATTAAAATTAACACAGAATTAAGTTAAAATATATTACAGAATTTTTTAAAGAACTAAAACAGAACCAGAATCGCACGTATACTTTCTTTAGTTTTTTTTTCTCCTCCAGCGAACCAGAACCCTATTTGCATTTCTCCTCCTCCGTCCGTTTCACTCCTCCGTCCGACCGACGCCCACCTCCGTCCGACACACAAAGTAGCACATTTCGTCTCCACTGTTACGGTATTTCCGCCATTGTTACGGCATTTTTCTAGATTAAAAAAATAGTATTGCATTTTTCTGGATTAGAAGATGTTAGTGTTACTTCTTTATGAGTTATTGACTTGTTTTTGTTGATACTATTGATGAGCATTACTCTTTTGATATTGGTTTGAGTTTTGTATACAAGGTGTTTGTTGAAATGTCACAATGAATTTGTTTTTGTTAATCTTGAAGTTTATTTATTTTCCATGTCATAGTTGCCAATAATGCATGCATGGAGACTACACCAAATCAAGTAATAGAACATAGCCACCTTATTCAAATTAATCAAATCTAGGGAGATAATTATTATAGAGTCATTTTGAGCATTATAAAATAGTTTAGAATAGTTTAGAATAATTTTATATGAGTATTATAGAATAGTTTAGTTTAGAGTAGTTTAGAGTCATTTTAGAGTACTTTAGAATAGTTTAGAGTCATTTTGAGCATTATAGAACATAGCCACCTTATTGATTTTGAGTATCACATCAAGTAATAGAATAGTTTAGAGTCATTTTGAGCATTATAGAACATAGCCACATTTGATGAGTATTATATGAAATAGTTGTTTTTTGAGCATTTTAGAGTACTTTAGAATAGTTTGAAATACTTTAGAGTCATTTTGAGTTGTGGAAATTATTATAGAGTTGTTTAGAGTTTGCCTTGAGGACTCTATTGCGTTAAAGACAAATATTATAACCCTTTTGACGAGTTATGAGAAGATATAAATAATTAGTTAATATGAG